TTTCTCCACAAATAAATACCGCCTCCCTAACCAGAGTTATAGTGGAGGACTTCCAACGGCTCAATTTGCAGCACATTGCTAAGACAGCCAAAATGATTTGAAAATATTACCAATACTTGACATGTCTGAAGTTATTCAGGGTATCCACATGCATGGCTTTCAGCCATCTGACACAATACCATCTGAGAACTGTATACAGGTAAGCTGATGTCCACTTGGCAAGGTGCCTGCTCAAGCTCACTGGCTGGTTCATATGTGGGGAGCCTGCCCTGAGACAGAAGGCACTGTTCCGCGTTTCCGTAGGCCAGTGAACTGGTGCTATTTTAAGTCCTTTGTCAGCTCTGAAGTGAACTGAAGATGGTGGACTCTTCCCTGTTAGTGGGTCACTTCAGATTGAATTACCCAAACAACAACTCAATGCCTTTTCTACAGAGGACTTTAAAAGTCAAGTGGTTTCCAGCGGAAAGTCAGTAACTACCAAGTGCTGCACCACGGGGCCTTGCTAGTGCTCCTGACAATACTACCTCACTTTTAAGCTAGAAAAGACCATGTAGCATTGAGGAGGAAATTCTAGGTTGTGGGGGGGAGGGCAGTGTAGTGAATTTATGGTATTTACAGTGTGTCTACAATTAGAGGGGCTGGAGAGATGGCTCATTAGTTTAGAACACTTGTAGCTCTTGCAAAGGATCCAGTTAGTGATCAATAATCATCCCAACTTCAGTTTCATGGAATCAAATGCCCTCTTCTGACTTCCACAGGCACCAGTCACACACATAGCGCACATACATACCAAAAGGCAAAACATTCATATACATAAAATAAGTAAATCTTTAAGGATTTCCTATTGCCTTTTCTACAAAGTTAGATTGCAGAGAAAGTTCAATAAAGGAAGGCATATTTTTCACAGCATTCCTACTACCATAATAGTAAGAGAAGGTATTAGGAATTGGTAACATTGACTTTCACCCATCTCAGAAGCAAGCCAGGTGGTCAGCAGGTGGCTCTGTTTCCCACAGCTCACTTACTGGACATTCACACAGCATTATTTAGGGAGTATATGTCCAAACCCAGGTTTTTTTTTTTTTTTTTTTTTTTTTTTTTGGTTTTTCGAGACAGGGTTTCTCTGTATTGTTTTGGAGCATGTCCTGGAACTAGCTCTGTAGACCAGGCTGGCCTTGAACTCACAGAGATCCGCCTGCCTCTGCCTCCTGAGTGCTGGGATTAAAGGCGTGCACCACCAACGCCCCGGCTCAAACCCAGGGTTTTAAAATAGCACTTGTATTCATTAGGCTCTTATAAATTATCACAACTACCTTGGTAGGCACCCAAGCTCCATCTTCTCCTCCAAGTCCTCCATGCCATGATTTTTACATAAGACTGTCATTTTACTTGACATTCTTACAGCATTCCATAGAAAAAGAAAGAACAGCTTTACAATTTAGAGAGAATTAGTAGAATCACCACAATGAATTCACATAGGGATTGGATTCAGTGTACATATTACAGTAACTGAGTAATTCAAACTCAGTTTAGGGAAGACAGAGAGACTGCCAGGTAAGAGTGTGTGTGTGTGTGTGTGTGTGTGTGTGTGTGTGCGCGCGCGCGCTCCAGCGTGCACAGGGACATGGGTGTGTGTGTGTATTATGAATGTATATGTACACACATATTGCTTTTCATCTTGTTCTCACCTCAGATTACAAATTCCCAAGAAAGCTCCTTGCACTCCCAGTCTCTCTGTTCTCCCTTTGTTATCTAAAGTCAAGTATTCCTCAGGAGAACTGGTGCATGCGCTAAAACAGGACCGTGGGCTGGAAGCTACTGGAAATCTAGAGACAAGCAAGAAGAGATGGCCCTGTCCTCTGAAGGGTCCCTCTCTATTACTTGTAAACCACCCACACAGCAGCACACATATATAAAGAAAAGCAGCCACCTCTGTTTGGCAAGAATGAACCATATCACCCAGACTCATGTGCACCTGGACTTGTTACCATCAATGTATGCCCCACCCATTCTTTGCAACTAGGTTCTTGAAAAATAATATGTAACTTACTTTTGCCAGATCACTAAGCTATCTGCTTAACCAACATATGGATCTCTAAGGCAAAAAGTGGCATTTCTCAAAAAAATATTGAGGACAAGCTTAAATGTAAAGCCTAGTTGTAAAGTTCTGAGAAGGAGCCAAGCTCCATAATTTAGTTGGTAAAAATGAGGTTACAGACAGGTACCAATCTATAGCTAAGTGGCTAAAAATTTTGCAAATTAAACACACACACACACACACACACACACACACACACACACACACACACTTGCTTTTGAAGTCTCTAGGGATGCCTGGAGTGAGTGGGAGGCTTTTTCATGTCTTAACACAAAATATGAGAGAACATTCCTTTGAGTAGGAATACAGGGGTGAATCATGGTATTGGAGTAAAAGGTATCCTCTCATGCATTAATGTGATCTTGGAAAACATTTAGAAAATCTAAGCTTAATACTTTAAATCTCTGTCAAAATTAATTACCTGTCATAAATATCCTCCTACCCCTCCTACGCACCGACCACTGCCTCAGTTCAGAAAAGCAAATTGAATTTTACTCTGGTCTAATGACAACAGATGGCTCTCATATTAAGTAATTTGAGTTATCTGACAGCAGACAGCATCCTGTTCAAACATTTTTGTTATCTCCCATCATCAGCCAAACCAAGAGTATTAGTGCTCAAACCAGGCAGACACTAGCAGGAAAAGATGCCAATCATCCAGGAAACAACTTCAGGCATCAATTTTATTTCTTGGATACAGGATTTCCAAGTATTTTGCTGACTAACCCTGTTTCTGTAGCCAAGTCTTTATATTTCATTTTATAAGCAATTCTCATTTATACTTAGTAGGGAAACTTCCCTCACATGTGTCTGGTCTTCATTTCCAGATGCAAAGATAAGCCTGAAACCCCATGCAGAATATGGGGGAAAGGAAAAAAAGAAAAGAAAAGAAAAAAAAAAAAAAAACCAGGAAGAACCCAAAAGAAGAATGTTCCTCCCAAAAGGAACATTTTGGGAAATGGAGATATAAAAAATCTGCAACCCTCATACCACTATGACAGCTGTCCTTCAAAGCTTGCAAAAGACTACAGCTGGTCGCTGAAAACCAGAGCTCTCTGCCAGTGACAACTATGTTCTAGAAAAATGCTTCCATGGTTGTACCCCAAAAGCTTCCATTAAATGTTTAAAACAACATGACAAAAAATGCAAGAGCTTCAAATTGTCAGAAATACTAGCACCCCAAACATCTAGATGTGCCCCCCTTCCATCCTTATGATTGCTCTGTTGTATCAAAACTCCTGGAGCAGCTCTGAGTCCCCTTCCTGTGCTTTCCATCCTAACCCTGCATGTCCACTCCGCTTCTTTTTTGACTCGGTAGTCATAGCTACTGAGAACACACGAGGAAAGTTGGAATCTCCTTTGCCTGGCATTTAAGGGCTCATAAAAATTTGACTAGCCTATCATGTACATCACATGTCTGTTTCCCTCTGCTATGAATCTCCTTTGGACACTTGACACTCTAATAATAGCTCAATCCAGCAAGGCAGCAGCCATCTTCCTTCTCTCTTGGGCTGTCTTCTAGTCCCCTTTCCCACTCCACCCACAGGCAAACTGTCATTCATCCCCACATCTCTCTATTTATCCAGTCTTCCCCAAATTTAAGACCTAACCCATGGTATTCCAGGATTTTCTCTCTTTTGGCTCTTCTATGGCATCAGACATGGAAAACACTATTTGCTGAAAAAAAGTCTAATTAGTCATTGAGAGTGCACAGCCCAGCCCTTCATCTTTTACCCAAATCTCTAATATTGTATTGTGCATGTTCTTTCCCAACCCCCATGTACTTATCTTAACAAATAGGCTGCAAGCTCTTCAAAGCTAAAATTTTCATTTGATCTTTCTTATATCGCAAAAATAATATTTCAGTAGATAGTCTAAATATTTTAGGCTAATAAACACGCTCTCCTCAAATATATAAAATACCCAGCAGACGAGGCCTTTGGTAGGAAGTGATGAGAAGGAGGGAGTACATTTCCAAAGGCAGTGGTTCTCAACCTTCCAATGCTGTGACCCTTTAATAAAGTCCCTCATATTGTTGTGACTGCCCCCCTCCCGCCAACCATACATTTGCTTCAGTACAACTTCACAACTGCAATTGTGTTGCTGTTACAAATGGTAGTGCCATCTGATATGTAAGACAGCCGATATATAACCCCCAAAGGGGCTGCGACCCACAGGGACTCCACAAGGAGCAGCAGTAAATGCTGTGTTTAATGACTGGGTGATGCTAGAAGATACCTGATTCCCTTTACCACAGCACTGCAGGAGAAAGAAGTCTCTTGCAGAGCAAGCTCTGGGATGGCATAAGATGTGTGCTTTCAAGTTCTAGGGACTTTTTAAAAATATGAGAACATGGTTTTATTTGCCTGTGTTGAAGGTCATTTTGTTTAGGTCTCCACCAAAAAAGGCTGTGTGAAAACACTATTCACATTCAGAAGTGGGCCTGGTTTTAGCCATGGGCTTTATTTCGATGGCTAATTCCATCTGCCTGTGTGGAATAACTCAGAGTGGTTTTCAAATCAGTAATGAGATTTCAGATAATTTACTATTATTTCTTTGTACAGCCAACATTGTTCACAAATAAAGTAAAGTAAAGGCATTTTATAGTTTTTAACACAGTGGGGGAAAAAAAAACTGTAGGCCTTTTAAACAATATATTCAGAAGCATATACCTAGGAAGCACCTAAATATACTAAAATGTGACTTTTTAAAAAATATCACCTTTGTGTGATTTTCACATGCTAATAATTGCTAATAAAGTAAGAAGAAGGAATTGATCTAGAACAGATGGTATCTCAATACAATAGAGTACTCTCAACTGAACCATCTTTAAGTAAGGAGTTTGAGGATGTGATGGTGAGTGTACTTGGGAAACCCAAGAAAAAAGACATAAAGGTCCTACCTTGTGTCTGTTTCTTGTTCACAGCATTATCGGCTTTGTGTCGTTTCTAAAGTCAAAACAAAACAAAATACAAACCTCAGTGAAAAAGTGAAAGAGTTCCGTAAAGTCAAACAGTATTCACAACCCACAAAGGTCATCTAACTGATGTTCTCTGGATTTTTCTATTTCTACAATCATAGATGGGGCATTGGACCATTCACAGCTTTGCCGCACAGTACCCGGGAGACTCAGTTCTTAATAGCAAATAGGTAGAATAACATTTTAATGTTACTAGAAAAAAAGAAATGAAGCAAAAGTCTGAGTTAGTCTATTGCTTAAATAACTCATGTAGAAGATTGCCCAGGAGAGTTATCTATAATAACCACCAGTATTTTCAGCTTTTTCTGAAACTCATTATCCAATTAAGCTGAGTACATCCTTCAGAATTTGAAGATGCACTGCTGTCTGCCTACAACTAGAAAAAAACACATCCACCCCTTTTACTTAATACAGCCGCTTGTCTTCCCTGTTCCACAGTACTACCGTGACAAGCAGATGCCACTAAGATAAGAGATTCATTCTTCTTCCCCAAAACACCCACAAAGTTAAATGGTGGGGGTGGTTTTTAAGTTGAGGTGGGGAGGTTGAAGAGTTACACAAAGCAAGATTTTAGAGGAGTAAGAAAGAGAAACAAGAAAGTCAGAGGATAGGTGAGAAGCTCACGGCCAACAGCCACCATAGGGGAGGGACATGATCACCTCTGTAGTTCAATTGCAGGTTTTCTGCATCTTGTGTCTAAACTTACAGCACGGAGAAAGACACAGCACTCTGGCAACAAGGCAGAAAAGTGTTGAGTGTAACTAATCCTTTGCTCAAAGATCCTATCTTTGAAGGCCAAGGCTTGCACTTAGCTATGAGAACTGAGAACAAATACAAGGCGCTTACATTTTCCATTTGAGAAAAATATGGTATTGAAGAAGTTTAGTGAAAAAAAATTTCTAAGAGAAATGTGTGGAGTCAGCACTCCTGAGAGCTACAGTTGTATCAGAGACAGCAGAGTAAGAGCTGATAGTGTGGACTCAAGCCATCAAAGTACAAACTGAATTGTGAGACATATAAACAGCACTGAAGTCTCTGTGAGGAACTGTGGGACATGATTGTCACATAGCTACAGGGCAAATCTTTCTCAGTGCAAACTACTCATAATGTGTAGTGGAGAAAAAATCTCATGGGAATATTATTGTTTTCAAAAGAAAGTGTAGTTTGCTAGAAGACTATTTTAAATAAAAGATTTAAGTCTTATGAGGGGAGGGAGAAGAGAAGGGGAAGGAGAGGGAACTGGAATTGACAAGTAAAACAAGACTGTTTCTAATTTAAATTAAAAAATCATAAAAAAATGAATAAAAATTTAAGTCTTTTTGTATTTATATTAGCAACAGAAAAATACGATTTTAAAGTTCCAAATATTTTTCTGTGGCTGTTTCTTAATAAAAAATAAAAGAAAATTTGAATGGAATTCAAAATAAGTTTGCTTCCAGAATTTTTTTTTAAGTCCGAGGTAAATTTAGATAGTAAAAGAAGGTATAGTCATGTTTCCCCCCCCCCCCATACATCTATGAAGGGCAATGGTTAGACTCCTAACTGATGAAGATAAAAGCTAATTAATGACACATTTCATATCAATAAGAAGTGTAACTTTATGACACTAAAAGTGGCCTTGGACATTAGTTTCCACCTACAAAAAGTTCTTATATCAGGGCCTCTCTGTCACCAGCTCTCTCCAACTTCATACTTTCCAAATACAAACAATTTATGATTTGTATGATAAAAATATCAATTGCTCCCTATACAACTAAAAGTCCACAAAAATACAGTTATTTTTGTTTCCAAATGCTACTCCTCTTACATTCAGTATCACTGAGAGACGGTGAGATGTTTACTGTTTCCATTTTGGATAGGAAGTTCATCAATAAATGGTATCATGTGAACAGTATTATGAATTTTAGGGCAGTTAAGTGTTCGATGCTAATTTTTACGAACTTAATTGCCCCTGACAAGACTGAAAGCGGCATGTTAAATTGCATTTAGGGGAAAGAAAGTGGAATCTTTGAGAGGTCATGTAACTTGTCCAGGAAAGTGATGGGCTCAGACTCCTTGCTCAGGGAACCCTTTCGAAGTGCACTTGGTTCCTTCTTCAGAGATGATAATCAAGGTTTAGTCCCTGCCTTTTCTCACTTCTACCCTACATCCTTTACTTAGCTTAACTCTTTCACGCCAAGTCTATCACAGTGGCTGTCTTCAGTCCAATCCATCCCCCATATCCTCTATCCACCCTCTGCTCTCTCAGTCTCCCTCTCCTCCTCTCTGTTTGTGTTCATGCTGTAATCTATCCCCTTAGCCAGAACATGGAACCACAAACCCATGAATACCCGTTTTTACAAATCAGAAACTTAAAGCCACCTTGCTCTTTCTTGTTCTGTCACTTTATCTAGCACCCTTTCTTTGCTAATTAATTATTTACCAAACACCCATCTAGTTCATCTACTGAATGTTCAGCTCCATCCAGACTTCTTTTACTCAGTAACACATGTCCAGTAATTTGTATCTGCATCCCAAAGACTTTGAATAAGTATTCATTTTTCAACGAATGGAAAATGCTAATATTTCATAATAATAAAAGGTGTTTTTATGGTTCTGAATACCAACTTCATAGACAATTCTAATTCTGATTCTTGCCACAAGAATTATAATTTACTGTGATAAATTTTTGAAAAGAGATTTTCATAAATTTGGAATATTCCAGGTATATATATATATGTATATAAATAATTTTTATTTACACAGACAAAAATAAGACATCCATTATGTTAAGCTATGCAGCATCAGGAGTGGTAAGTCTTCAGCACCTCACATGTAGTCAAATCTTTATTCTAAAAAATTGTAAAAACAATGCTAATATAGGAAATATGTTTTCCTAGACCACTCACTGTGTTTTGTTTCTGAGGTATAAGTGGAAGACATAGTTAGTCCTCACAAACATCTAGTTCCATACTTCCAAGGATGTGAAGACAGCATCTCTTTAGCACGTCTTTAGTTCTAACACCTGCAAACAGATGTTGTAAATCGTGGATGACCCAAGCACTTGAGAAGTGCCATCGCTATTCCTTCCTTACTGCCTTGCTACAGTGAACCCTACTTGTCCACGCAGAAGATATTCAATTCAGTTTGAATCCCCAAGTCACTACCCTCTCCTCATCTCGAGCAACCACAGTGCTTTTCAGTAAGTAGATAACAGGCATATATTAGGCCACTGACATACTGAATATGATTAACATTATGACAAAGTTTAAATACATTTTAATCTGCACCCCAAGTGATGACAGGCACCTAATCAGTATCCTTATGTTTCTCTCTGTGAAAATATGATAAGTCATGATAGCTCTTTGTTCAGCCACTTAAACTATTACTTCTTCTGTTCTCTCCTCAGGAATATTATTTCAAACGTGCTATAATTGTATCATTGAATATATGCTACATGTTAAACAATTTCTGTAGCCTGTGTCTATGAACATCATGAAGTGATGGTTATATTTTCCTTGTTTCTATGATTTTTTTTTTTATTTAGCTGTACACTCTACTTCCCACCTCCCCCCTCTCCTTCCACCCTGACCCCTGACCCCATGCTCCCAATTTATTCAGGAGATCTTGTCTTTTTCCCCTTCTTAGGCAGATCCAGGCCCTCTTTGTTACTTAGGTTCTCTGCGGTTGTGGTCTGCAGGCTGGTTGTCATTTGCTTTATGTCTAATATCCACTAATGAGTGAGTACATATTATTTTTGTCTTTCTGGATCTGGGTTACCTCACGGAAGTTATAGATTTGCTATAAAAATCAAAGAGAAGATGGAAGAGGCAGCTTCGATGAGGGCTAACATGCAAGGCTCCATCCAAATCGCCATGATTGAACTCCGACACTCTGGATTCCAGTGGTTGACCTCAGGCAAGCGACTTTGCCCTTCTGACTATGCTTTCTCATTTATTTAAACTGGGAAGGTCAGCAGCAATACCTTAGAGGTGTGCTACACATGCTAACAAACATAAACAACAGGGAACAAGCACACAGAATCCAGAAGCACAGTAAACATCACTGCTATTTCTGCTGGTGATTCTCTGTATTGAGAACACAACCTAGGAAGGGATTTTGATTTCATTACTTTCTTGGACAATATCTGTGACCTCAGCTTCCTTGCCTTTTTTTTTTTAATTTTGTATTTTAATTAACTCTTTTGTAGAATATCTATATGTGATTCTTTAAAAAGACTCATTGATATTTTAGATTATGTGCATGACTGTGTATGTGTGTGAGTATGTGCAAATGAATGAATACAGGTGCCCACAAAGGTCAGAAGAGGTCACATGTAATTGTGAGCTTTCTGACACTGGGCTTGGAAACAGACTCAGGCCCTCTACAGGAGTAGTACTCATCCTCAAACATGGAGCTGCCTCTCCGGATCCAGTTTCCATGTTTTAAGTGGAGGACTCCTGAGATATTGAATGACAGATAAACAAGCCCAAACCAACAGCACAACACTTGATAAATCACATACGCTACACACACACACACACACACACACACACACACACAAAAATAAAATAAAAACAAAAATATCAGGTTAAACAAAGAAAGAAAGAAGAAAGGAGTGTTCAAAGAAACAGGCAGAAATTATAGTGAGGCCCAGTCTCCAGGGGCTGCCCAATCCAGCCATAACGTAAAGTATGGAAGTCAGTGGGAACAAACTAAGGAAAGAGAATTCTTTCATTTTCCCTGCTAGTGGGTCCAAGCAGGATCTTACCAATCAAGAGGACCAGGGTGTCTTACACACACACACACACACACACACACACACACACACACACACACACACACACACAGAGAGAGAGAGAGAGAGAGGTAGCCTCAGTGTCTACTGTTACATAAGTAGAGCTTCGAGGCCACCAATGCAGACCATATGATTCTTTTTAATAATGTTAATGAAGTAACACTGCAGAAGTAATACTACTATTTGTGAAATTTGGGGCTGTGCATTCATAAACACTTCCTCAGTCTCCCTCACCCAAATTTAACTCTTCTAAAGCCCAGCAGGAGGTCATTTTTAGACATTCAAAGAATGTCTAGAATCATCAAAAACCCACAATGTAAAGCACAACATCAGTTTCCTCAGATAAGACACTTAGAAGAGAATACAGAAAAGGTCTAAAGTTGTTTGGGGGCATTTATTTTGCAAGAGGAAACTGACTTCCTCTTTCTTACCATGGAGTGTTAAAAATAACAAAGTCACTGATACTTTCTTTCAATAAGACAAGATAAATGGAGAGGAAACTCAGAATACTAAAATACAATGAGAAGGAATCAAGGCATCCTAATAAGGTGAAAAACCACAGTATTTAACTTTAAAAAATAAAAAATACAATTAAAAAAATCTCCTTTATATTTAATTTGGAGATTATTTCAATTAATTGGAAACTGTTCTATCTTCATGCCAATTACTATATTTAGGTTCATTTCTTTTATTAATAAATTATAAACTTAAGAGAACACTGTACCGGTTTGATCAAGCCAGACCGCCTGAAACAGAGTACCAGGTGATCCTACATTCAAAACAGCTGGACAAAGCAGCCTTACAGACTACAGCCAGGATTTCTGCATCTTCTTCGAATCCCCCATGACAGCCCTCCTTACTAGCAGGAAGTAGTTTGGAAAGAATGACACCCAAATTCCCAAAGATTGTCTATAAATGTTTGTTTTCATTTAAATGGACTTGGTTATATAAAAAAGAGAGAGAGAGAGAGAGAGAACACTGTACCAAGATTCCTTGGCATTAATCTATTAGAAGCAACTTCAGGAAAAGAAATGCAATTCTATTCATCTTTAAGTTGCACAGGCATTTTAAAGGACCTATACTATAAATTACATAGCTAAAGAAAATAAAATTAATATACATTTGAGCCAGGTTATACATGAAAAGTTAAATACTTACAATGTCTTCTATTATCTCTTTGATAGCTGCCACAGCTAAAATAAATAAGAGAGGAACCAGTGTTGTATAACGACCTGTTGGTGACACATCAGGTATTTGCTGAATAAGAAAAAAGGCAAGATAATTCCAGTGAGAACCAGACATTAAAAAAGAAAAAAGAAAAAAAAAAAAAACAAAAACAAAAAACCTAAAAGTAGGGTCTTCTCAAACATTTCTCACTGATTTTACTAGTACTGGGTCAAGTACCTGCATAACAAGTTAATTTGCCTGTTTATAAATATATAGTACATAGAGCTAACACACAAGATTAAAAAAAGACAAAGTAGTGTATAAAAAAAACCATCAAAATGATGACTTAGAAATGCAATAAATACCTGCAGAAAAGTCTACACATATAATATGAATATATCAGATCATGAAATAATGTTCATTTCAGTATCCCTTTTCATTACATAAATCAGAAACTAATGCTTCAATCACCCTCTGGTGCTGGAATAATTGGTTTAACTTTTCTTTATGCTTTGCTGCATTTTCAACTCCTTTTGCTAACAGTGAACATTTACTATTTTTAATGTATATTATATTTTTTTTCTTAGAACATTCATAACAACTAACTTAAATGTTTGCTTCTGTAAGCAGTAATTTTTATAGTGAGCCATTTCATATTAATACTTTCACTGAAATAAAACTAGTTGGACAATTTGGGGGGAAAGTCTCTCCTCTCTTCAGCGCCTAACATGAACGAACACTTCTTGCCATCAAATTTATAGAACGCATCAGTATTTGAATAAGCATGAGCCCAAAGGCTCTGAAGGGTGGAGGATGCCTGATACTGTGGACAGGGAATACGAGCTCTGTCCAGCTAATCCCTCTGCCTTTCTATAAGCCTCAGGGTATTGGTGGAGGATTTAACAAGCCTTTCGTACTTCCTGCATACTGGCTTTGAACAGAGGTTTGAAGATAGACGGAACTTTACCTGGAGCAGGGCAATAAAGAGAAAGAACGAATTAGCTGCTCTTCTGAACTGAGAGTAGAGGAATCTTGGAAGGAATGTGATCACGTTGTATTTTGCAGTACTGGAAAGCAAAAATAAAAAGAAACATGTAGCTTAGCTCCTCCACAATTAACACCCATGTTTTCAGAGTTCTGCTCCCAGCACAGGAGTAATCAGATGACAACATTTGTTCACAGTTTCAAATCTGGAAACTATAGTAAGGGATCTCATTAATGTAACTGAAAAAGAGGGAAAGGACTGGCTAAATAAACAGTCAAGGCTGAATCTCTTTGGCTTTGTTTTTCTGTAACCTTTGTCTTCTCTGGTCAGTTATCATGCTGAACAGTACTAGGAGTAGCTTGCAAAGAAAGGAAATTTTAGATAAGATATTGAACTAACACACCAACATAGGGCCAGACAGTGTAAACAGCTTCTTAGAAAACCAGTCAAACAGCTTTTTCTGCTGTTCTACCTGTGTGCTGTCTGGCCATGCTAGGAACATGGTGAGGACTCCACGCTGTCCAGAAACAATAAGATATGAACACATAGGTCCTTTCTCTTGCTAATAAATAGAGAGGAGATGAAAGATCCATGCCATACTCTTCAACAGAGATACTACTGGAGGATCTGCAATTTTGTACATATTATTTGCAAATGGGTATATCTTAAATATGATAAACCTGCCCTGAAAGAAAAGCAGGTTAGCACTTGGGTTATTCATGTGGTCTAACACTATCTAGAACCTACTCCTTATGTGGAATCTGCTTCTGTAAGCAGTACTTTTTATAGTGAGCCATTTCATATTAATACTTTCACTGAAATAAAACTAATTGGACAATTTGGGGGGAAAGTCATAAATGAAAACTTATGGTTTGCAGTAAGGAAGACATTCTCAAAACACGCTGTATCATATGTGCTATACTACAACTATCCAAACCTATACTTCAAGATTCTAGCTAAAACAAACAAACCAAACCTCTAAAAATTCTTGGTATAGAATTGCAAGAATTGTTCCTAAGCTGTTAAAACTTGGCATGCAAAAATAATACACTGCTACATTAACAGGTTTAGAGAGATGACAACTGCCCAGGGGCAGCAGTTTTGATTATTCACAATTCTTGGAGTATAGGGGCTTATCCCTTCTGCTCCATCCTACATCCAGGGGCTTTTGATTTATCCTTTTCTTTTTGTTTGAGATGCTGGTGATTGAACCCAGAGCTTTATAAATGTTCGATAAAAGCATTCTATCATGAGTCATGCCATAGCCAGCCTTTCTTTCCTGGATAGAAAGCAGTAGAACAGCAGGTCCTCCTAACTGAACTGAGAGCTCCTGGTAACTCACCCCACCAAATCCCTTTGAAACAGGGTTCTTTCTCTGTATAATCCTGGCTGTCCTGGAACTCACTATGTAGACCAGGCTGGCTAAGAACAGACAGATCCATCTGCCTCTGCCTCCAGAATGCAGAAAGATATGTGCTACCATACCTGGCAGGCATTTGCTTCCCACCCACCCTGCTCTACCATCCAGTCCTCCCATGCCTTCTCCCAGCCTGTCCTACCTGACGTGATTGTTGCAGAATTTTGTCAGCTGAGGCTGATTGATGAATATGGTTCTTACTTCTTCCTGATCAGCTAGTGAGGTCTTCTCTGAAACATCATCTGTCTTCTCATAACCTGAAAGAAACATGCTTCTTAGTGGACAAGACATGTTTCAATAGCCGGACAGTAGTGCACATTCCTTTAACTCCAGCACCGGAGAGGCAGAGGCAGGCAGATCTCTGAATTCAAGGCCAGCCTGAACTACAGAGAGTGAGTTCCAGGAAAGACAGGACTACACAGAGAAACCCTGTCTGGAAAAACCGAAACAGAAATGTTTTATTTTATTATTGATATTTAGACTAGACCCATATTTCAAATTCACTCTACAATGTCAAATTTGACAAGGCTGCATGGATCCCTTACTGGTACTGTTCCTTTATAAGAAAAAGTAAAACTCACATAATATTTTTGTTAGGGATATCTCCTTAATATTTATGTAAAAATAATACACTTCAAAACCGGTAAGATTTATTCATCTTTCCTATATAGATGTCTGACTTAGACTCTTCCACTTCATGAAAAGATACCCAAAAGTCAGTAATTTTGGACTAGTTTATATAACAGCTTAAGGAAAATTCAAAAACAGTAATTTAAAATGCATTTCAAAATATAAACATCACATTGAATATTTTTATTTCTTTTGATGAAAATAGAAAAAAGTTTAATACTAAGGTTTAAGTAGGCAATCCTCAATGATCCAACCAACAACACTCATTTAATCCTCTAGTTAGAAGCAAGATCTCTAACTTCATTCTCAAGGCCATCACACAACTGTTAAGCTACCCATGGTCACTGCAATAGTACAATCAATGTCTCCGAAGGCGCTCCATGCTTCAAGACTCAAACCATCACAAAAAACAAACAAACAACAGGTCCCAGAACTGACAGAAGAAGAAGTTTAAAGGGCTCACTGTTATTTCCTAGTGAGGTGGGGTGGGGGATGGGGGTGGTGGTTATGGGAGCTATTGCCAAGACCTTGAGTAGGATCTCTGGCACCATAACAAAATTAAGCAAACAAACAAACAGGATTGAATTAAGTTAACCCCTTCCTCCTCTTCAGTGAAACAATCACATTCTTAAAAAAAAAAAAAAATCCATTTGTCTTCATTTTCCACCTTTCAGTGCCAACTCTTCCCATGAAACCTGCTGACACATGGCCTTTTGAAGTGTTCTGCATTGACGAAGGCAGAGAAGCTGCTCTGGGTCCACAACCACATAGGCCACCTCCTACCCAACAGCACACTTACCAGGATGTTTTCTGGCTCTCTGGTTATGAGTCAGTCTGCCCCTACTAGAAGAGGAGCTTTCTGGGGTAGATGGTGTATTATTCATCTTCTCCATCCCAGTCAACAGACAGCAGGTACTCAATAAATGTTTGCCCAATAAATACACCCCAAATGACAAAGAAGCAGTTGCCTCCACTGCCCCATTTGGAAGACAAGAGAAAACTTCTTCACCCACTGATAAAGATACTGATATCCAAGAGCCAGTGACGGACAACTGACACAGACAAGCTTGCCTGTGAGGCACAGATATGGTAGGAGACTCAGTGAGATGCTAAGAAGTGGATCAGGGAAGCAGCCCCTACTGAGGCCGGAAGTGCAGGCAGTGAGGGGGTGGACTGGATGTCATGCTGAGGAAGCACTTAGGCCAGCTCCAAGAGGGTTCTTAATGCTGAGAAAGCAGTCTCAAGTCTAGTCTTTGCTTGGCAGGGAGCCACTAAGAGCTTTCCAGGATCAGAGTTACAATTCATCCTCGTCGTCCTGAAGGTCACAGCTCCATTCTAGGCTCAATCATTCCCATTTTTCAGTTCTAGAAAGACCAGTTTTGCCCACAGTCATGGTCTGTTACTACTTCATATTTTAGATGCAACACAAGATTTGCCTTCCACTTTTGCATTATCCTAATTTCACATGGGGATTGGGACATGGATCATTTGGTAAAGCACTTGCTGTACAAGGTGAGTACCTGAGTTTAGATCTCCAGGAATCAAATAAATGCAGAGTGGGCATGAGGGAGGTAGAGACAGGCGATTCCAAGAGCCAGCTAACGAGCTAGACAGGATGAACTGTCAGACTTTGAGATCAGATGGGAGACCCTGCCTGCTTCAGTATAAAATAAGGTAAAGATTGCCTGAGGAAGACAAGCTATGCCACCTGAGCAATATCTTTAGATGAAACTTAAGAGGGTTGCATTTTTGACAGCCTAGCCCTTTGGTAATTTTATCCAAGGAGTAATGGATCAATCCCTCTAAGAAATTTGGACTAAGGTCTCAAATGTTACTAGGGTGAGCAGGATAATGCATGCTGACCTTCCATATTAATTTGTATTTAAGAATTCCTACAGTATCTTCCTGTGTCAAAGGGATTAGAATCTCTCTCTCTCTCTCCCTCCCTTTTACTTTTTTTTTCATTTTTCTTTATCTTTTTGTTCTGAGTAATTAAAACAATCCTAATGGATTAGCACAGGCTCAAGGAAGCTTTATTTGTGTTATTTTCAGGCAGTTTCATGCCATCTGCCCTTGAACTTGGTGTTTCTCAGAGCTTCTGATCCTTCAGCCTCATCTCCTGGACCCCGGGGTCACCAGTCTGCTCAGCTTTTAGTGTACAGTAGTAGTAAGGGCAATCCAAGAGGGGAATTTCCTCTTTCTCCACCCTAGAGGGGCCAAAATTAAGATGGCATTCCTTTTCACACACAGTTCCATCTCTGTTTTAAGGAGAGAATTGATGTCCCTGAGGAGTGGTTTGGTAACCCAGGGGACTTGCTTGGTATTTTAGTGATGTGTTCATTTAAGCCATTAAACTCACCAGTAGTTTTTAATTTACCTGTCCAGACTCCTACAGACTCCTGAGAGCTTGGCCATCTTTACAGGAAACAGGAAAAAGTTTGTGAAGCCACTGTTTTTGAATGAGTTCTCACTTAGTGGTCCTGGTCAGGCAGGCCCTCTCAAGCCACCTTTGTCATGAAGTGACACTGATGGTGAAACTGGCTTAGAGAGAGAAATGCATCATTATCACACTCTCTAGCATCCTTGGCAGCTTTCCCTACTATAAAATTGCACAGAGAGCACACAGCACTCGTGCAGTCAATGGAAATCGACCCTAAAACAATGATTTACTGTCTCTGAGATCGCCTCGGTGACCTATCTTCTCCAGGTTAAAAGAAGCTCTGGATTGACCTTGGAAACCAAAATCTCCTTGAATGTATATCTGGTAAATGCCAAGGCAAACAATTAGGTGGTTATTTTCATTAGTATCCTAATTTGCAAAACAGAAATGTTTTGTGTCCATCTCCTGGAATAATTGGTATAAGATGACAGAGTCTGTATATAAAGTACTTATAAAATGCTTGATATTCACTAAATATATGATAAAAGTAATTGATGGTGCTTGATGGGTGGGCGGCGTGGGTGAATTCAGATATTGGGTCTCTGAGAAGGGGAGGGGGCTGTCACAGTGTCTCAGAGTGGAAAGTCCTCCCTAGCAGTGCAAGTGTGAGCTCCTATGCTCCCTTGGTTACATGGAAAGCTTCCTGAATATTCCACCTGATTCACACAAGCCCTCGGTTGTCTGAGGAGTTCACAGTGGAGCAAAGCCAAATCAGCAAGATTCTGAGAACAGATCTCTTTCTCACAAGTGGATTCAAGCTCCTCAAACTTTTAAGATGTATAAATTTGTTAAACACTTTAGGATGCAAGACAATGTCATAGGAACCAGAGGAACTTATGTCCCAACAGAAGAAAGCTGACCGAGCAACATATCCCATAAAGTCACTTGCTTCCTGGAAAGGAGGCAAAATTCACAAATTCTTAGGAATCCAGGCAGGTGGTAAGGGATGCTGATATATTTTAACTGTGTAGAATCACTGAACCATGCTTCTTATGGTACTGTTTCCTGACTAATTAGAAACCTCCCCGCTGAGCTGATTCTTCTAAGTTGGCCTATCTGGAAAGTCAAGTGAGTCTCCATGTGTCTCATGAGAACCAAAGCAGCTCACTCACTGGTGACTGGATGAAACAGGAACCCAACAGCATTGAGCTCACATAACCTAATGCACTTAATTCCACAAAAGGTCAATACATCCACAGGACCAAACTCTTCAATCTGTTGAAGACCCTGGCAATGGGACCATGACACATCAGGTCTGTTGCTTACCATCTCTCCTCTATAGAGCTGCCAAAGTGTAACACTGTAACTTACCCCGACTCTGACCGGCCACCTTCTCCAAATTCTAACTGACATGAAATCTTTGACAGAATTCAAACTAAAGCCTAGGAACCAATATGTTTCTAGAGGATGACTTTTCTTATGTCATATGTTGAGGGGAAGTGGAGAGAACAAGAGAAACACACACACACACACACACACACACACACAGAGAGAGAGAGAGAGAGAGAGAGAGAGAGAGAGAGAGAGAGAGAGAGAGGAGAGAGAGAGAGAGAGAATATGCTCATATACTTCCTTTCCAAATTCTAAATGATCAGAAGTGTAACATTATGGCTGTCAAGTACAAACATAAAGATGAAGGGTAATAGTAACTCTAGGGGCATGCTACACTTTCCAATGTTTTTAAATGACCAATGCTTTATCCTTAGAAACCAAACTCATCAATACCATCATTGTTTTGAACTGCCTCAAGTAACCTCCTACACACACACACACACACACACACACACACAAAATCTCATTCTCAACAGTGAGTTCTGTTTGCAAAAAGGACTTAATTTTGCACCTATCATTCATTCATTCATTCATATCTTTGCTTACCAGTGTAACAGACTCACAGGGCTACAGATGCACATTTACTTCTTCAGCATATTTGGGAGTTTCCAGAATCACTCAGGCATTCATTCTTAGGTCCTAGGGGCTCATCTAGAAACTTGACAACTTCTAATATGATTCATTTTTTTAAAAATATATATATTCTTGAGAATTTCATATAGGCACATAATGAAATATGTTCATGTCTACCATATTTTGACTCTATATTCCTTCCAACGTAATTTCCCTCCACCTCACCCTGATCCTCATAACACAATAAGTCTAATTAGTGCTATATTCATATATATATATATATATATATATGAATATATGTGTATAGATATGTCTATATCTATAGAAATATATATGCATGAGTATGGAGCCATTCACTGGAGCATGGATACCTTCAAAACAAATTGCTTCTTCCTCCTTCCTCTGCCAGGTGTGGGGTCTGGAAAGCATCCCCCTACCTATCTGATTAAAAGAAAATTTTCTATAGAGCCAACAGGCAGGCAGTGTTCCTCTTTTACTACAGCATATGGCAGCTCCAGAAACAGCCTTGTGTAACGTTGTACTTGCCAAGGTTTGTGACTTCTTCAAGCCATCAGAGTCAAACTAGTCTTCCAGAATTCTGGTATAGCTGTCACTGAAATGAACAATGTGGTGGCTGAAATTTTCAATATCCTTCAAAGGCCTGTTGTCAACGCTTGGCTATTATCCCACTGGGAGGCAGTTCTTAGGAGGGAGGACCTGAGGCCTAAAAGGAGACAGCTAGGTAATTAAGGACACACTTTGAAGGGGACATTACCACCTGGCTCTCCCTTTCTCTCTGCCTCCTCCTCCCTGTCTCTTTCTCCCTGTCTCTTCTTCCTCTCTGCCTCCTCCTTTTCTCTCTTTTCTTCACTCTCAACCTGTCATGAGGTATGGATTCCTGATAGCATTTCTTGGCAAATCTACCAGCATTTCTTTGACCATGAACCCCATGCCAAAATGTGCTGCTTTGTTGCAGGCCCAAAGGGATGGATGCAACCAATCGTGGGATGAAAAATATGAAGCATAAGCCCAAATAACTTTATTCCTTATAAGTTCATTATCTCAAATATGTTGTTCCAGCAACAGAAAGCTGACTAATACACCTTTTATTTTTTCTAAATGATAAGGAGTATAATGATTCAGTAATTCAGAATTCTAGCTATATTGAAGATATAAAGTTACTAATACCCTACCTGATTTATATCTAATCTCACTGGAGAGAGTCTTGTTTTCTGAATGATACCATCATTTCAACTAATGATAAAATTACTGAGAAGGCCCTAAGCACACATGAAATCAAAGACTCATCAGGTCAACGACTTTATTTTTAGTTATATTATGACCAAAGGGTGTGTATAGAGTTCCGAAGAACCTAAAATAGCAGCAGAAGGAAATAAATAGTCACCTAATACTGCTTGGCATTTGCATACAAGAATATAAAAGTGTCATGCTGAAGACAACCATTTCACCCTTTCAGCAATAATTCCTATTATCAACAAATGAAGGCTGGAAGTGGGGCAGCATTTTAGTTTTCCCTGTGAACACCTCCTCCGCCCATTGACTAAACCCATGCACAGGCTGTGGGGCTAGACCTGGTTTCTCTACTGATTCCATACATCAC